TGTGATCGACTTAATTCCTGGAACTAGTCTGATATCGATGGCTCCATATCGTATGTCCGTGTCGGAATTGAAAGAGTTGAAGAGTCAACTTGAGGATCTACTTGAGAAAAGGTTTATTCGTCTGGGTGTGTCACCGTGGGGTGCACCGGTGTTGTTGGTTAAGAAGAAAGAAGGTTCTATGAGACTCTGTGTGGATTACAGACAATTGAACAAGGTGACTATCAAGAATAAGTATCCACTTCCAAGGATTGATGATTTGATGGATAAATTGGTTGGTGTGAGTGTGTTCAGTAAGATAGATTTGAGATCTGGGTATCATCAGATTCGCGTGAAGGCTGAGGATATTCAGAAGGCTGCTTTTAGAATGAGGTATGGACACTATGAGTATTCTGTGATGCCATTTGGTGTGACTAATGCACCATGTGTATTTATGGAGTACATGAATAGGATTTTCCATCCTTATTTGGACAAGTTTGTGGTTGTTTTCATTGATGATATTTTGGTTTATTCGAAGAGTGAAGAAGAACATGCCGAGCATCTAAGGATTGTGTTATCTGTATTGAGAGAGAAGCAGTTATACGCTAAACTTTCTAAGTGTTAATTTTGGTTGAAGGAAGTGAGTTTTCTTGGTCATGTGATTTCGAGTAGAGGTATTGCAGTTGATCCGTCGAAGGTTGAAGCGGTGTTGCAATGGGAGACTCTGAAATCAGTTTTTGAGATTAGAAGTTTTCTTGGTTTGGCGGGATATTATCGGAAATTCATTGAGGGATTTACCAAGTTATCATTGTCGTTGACGCAATTGACTAGGAAAAGTCAAGCTTTTGTTTGGAATGCAAAGTGTGAAGGAAGTTTCCAAGAGCTTAAGAGAAGATTGACGACAATTCCTGTTTTGATTTTGCCGAATCCGACAAAACCGTTTGTGGTGTATTGTGATGCTTCTTTGATGGGTTTAGGAGGTGTGTTGATGCAAGATAAACAAGTTGTAGCTTATGCTTCGAGGCAACTCAAAGTGCATGAGAAGAATTATCCGACGCATGACCTAGAGTTTGCCGCCGTTGTATTTGTGCTAAAACTTTGGAGGCATTATTTGTTTGGTTCGAGATTTGAGGTGTTTAGTGATCATAAGAGTTTGAAGTATCTTTTTGATCAAAAAGAATTGAATGCAAGCCAAAGGAGATGGTTAGAACTTCTGAAGGATTATGATTTTGGTTTGAATTACCATCTGGGTAAAGCAAATGTGGTAGCTGATGCATTGAGGAGGAAATCGTTGCATATGTCGATAATGATGGTGAAAGAGTTGGAATTGATTGAGCAATTTCGTGATTTGAGTTTGGTGTGTGAGAAGACTTCTTATGAAGTTAAGCTGGGTATGTTAAAGCTTACTAGTGGTATTCTGGACGAGATTCGGGAAGGACAGAAGTCTGACTTGAGTTTAGTTGATCGGTTGACTCTGATCAATCAAGGTCAAGGTGGTGATTTTCGGATTGATGAAAATGGTATCATGGATGTCATGATAGAGTTTGTTTTCCTGATGTTGATCTTAAGAAGAGTATTCTTGAAGAAGGGCATCGTAGTGGATTGAGTATTCATCCGGGTGCTACTAAGATGTATCAAGATTTGAGGAAAGTGTTTTGGTGGCCTCGTATGAAGAAGGATATTGCCAAGTTTGTGTATTCTTGTTTGACATGTCAGAAGTCAAAGATTGAGCATCAGAAACCGTCGGGTTTGATGAAACCGTTGTTTATTCCTGAGTGGAAATGAGATAGCATTTCTATGGATTTTGTATCTAGTTTACCGAGGACGCCGAATAACTTTGAAGCTATTTGGGTTATTGTGGATAGATTGACCAAATCTGCTCACTTTATTCCTATGCGAATGGATTACCAGTTGGAGAGGTTGGCAAAGCTGTACATTGAAAGGATTGTCAGTTTGCATGGTATTCCGTCTAGCATTGTGTCAGATAGAGATCTGAGGTTTACTTCGAGATTTTGGGAAAGTTTGCAAAGTGCTTTGGGTACGAAGTTGCGTTTGAGTTCAACCTATCATCCACAGATCGATGGTCAGACTGAGAGAACGATTCAATCACTTGAGGATCTTTTAAGAGCTTGTGTATTGGAGAAGGGAGGAGTTTGGGATAACTATTTACCTTTGATTGAATTTACTTACAACAACAGTTTTCATTCGAGTATTGGTATGGCACCGTTCGAGGCATTGTATGGTAGACGGTGTAGGACGCCATTGTGTTGGTATGAATCTGAAGAGAGTTCAGTGGTTGGACCCGAGATAGTCCAGCAGACTACCGATAAGATTAAGATGATTCAAGAGAAGATGAAGATTTCTCAGAGTCGTCAGAAGAGTTATCATGACAAGAGGAGGAAAACACTTGAATTTCAGGAGGGAGATCACATGTTTCTTCGGGTTACTCCTATGACTGGTGTTGGTAGGGCATTGAAGTCGCGTAAGTTGACGCCGCGTTTCATTGGTCCTTACCAGATTTTGCAGAGGATAGGAGAGACAACCTATCGAGTTGCTTTACCGCCGTCGCTTGCTAATCTCCATGACGTGTTCCATGTATCTCAGTTGAGGAAATACATTGCGGATCTGTCTCATGTAGTCCAAGTAGATGATGTGCAGATGAGAGATAACCTGGCTGTGGAGAATTGAATAATTTATTCTTAACGGATGGATTGAATTGAATAATTTTAAGAAAATTTATGTGGATTGTTAATGGATTAATGAATTGTTTTAATCCATTCATTAACAATTCAATCTATATTCATCCAATCCATCTATTTTACCACCCCTATTGTCAAGTACTTCCTACATTCATCATATAAAATCACAACAATCATCAAGCATATCCATGAAAGAAATTAGTAACTCTTAATTCAAAATTTCAATCTGCAAAAGCAATAGCCAATAAGGGAACGTCTTCCATAATCAACCTGCAAAAGCAATCAATAAACAACTAAAACAAAGCATCAAAAAGTTATTAACAGATGTAGTTATGCAATACAAGCATGTAGTAAAATCTAGGGGTGGCAAAATGGATGGATTGGATGGATATGGATTGGATTGCTAATGGATGGATTAAAACAATCCATTAGTCCATTAAAATCCACTAAAATTTTATTAAAATTATCCAATCCGATCCATCCATTAAGAATAAAATCCATCAAATTCATCCATTAACATATTTTTAATGGATGGATATCCATCTATCCAACTTTTTTTTTAATTTCGTAAAAATAAATATTTTTTTTTCAAAAACAAATTAGTTTTTTATTCTGAAAAAAAAACCGATTTTTCAGAAAAAAAATTGATTTTTTTTCCAAAAAAAAAGTCGGTTTTTTTTTCGAAAAACAAATCAGTTTTTTATTCTGAAAAAAAAACCGATTTTTTTCAGAAAAAAAAAAGTCGGTTTTTTTTTCGAGAAAATTTTTTATTTTTTTTCGAAAAACAAATCAGTTTTTTATTCTGAAAAAAAACCGATTTTTTTCAAAAAAAAAAGTCGGCTTTTTTTCGAGAAAAAAATTTATTTTTTTTTCGAAAAACAAATCAGTTTTTTATTCTGAAAAAAAAACTGATTTTTTTTCCAAAAAAAAAGTCGTTTTTTTTTTCGAAAAACAAATCAGTTTTTTGTTCTGAAAAAAAAAACAGATTTTTTTTTAAAAAAATTAAAAAAAAATTTTCAAAAAAAAAATATAGTTTTTTAATTATTTTTAAAAAAATAAATCTAACGAAAATAAAAATAATCCATTGGATCCTTAAAATGTGTTGGATGGATTGAATCAATCCATGCATATAAATGGATGGATTGAATCCATCCATGCATATAAATGGATGAATTTAATCCATCCATTAACTTATTTTTTGTGTGGTGGATGGATTGGATGGATTTTTCGATGGATGGATTGGATGAATTTTACCTTAATGGATTTAATTGCCACCTCTAGTAAAATCTAACTGAAATCGTATTATTTTCTATTTGAATATTGTGTATATAATGTAACATTATACATGTATAAGGGCGATTTTGACCATTTATACCAATATTATCACCTTTCACTCCCATTATACTTTCATTGAAAGCCACATATTTTTCGTGCAAAATAAATAATCAAAGGGTAATTTGAATTCTTGCAGTAAAGGAATTTACCATGCATAATACTTTGTCTCCTGAGAAACTATATTATTGTTAAACGCAAGTTGCAAGTTGAAGGGACACAAACCCAACATTGGTGTTTCAAGTTGCAGTAGCTCGAGTTCCTTTCAAAAACAAGTTAAATGGTTTGCATGAAGATGGGTAGTAGTGGAGAATTTGTTGGTTTTGTTTCTCACAAGTCCTACATCAATTGGCTTAGTTTTACTTTGTCTATAAAACATACATTAGTTAATTTTAGTGTGAATTTGTGGGTTGTTGGAATGTTGTAATGAAATGGGCTTTGGCCCATTTATTTTAAAATTTAAATTTGTACTGGTTCAAATAAATTAATAAATTAATTATCTTAATCAATATTGTGAACTCATATCATTGCCAATTAAAATAGAGAATTAAAAGTTAAGGGACAAAATGCATTTAAAACCAATTAGTTAATAATTCGAAATATAATTAATGCTTTGTATTTTGTTGTAAAAAAGAAAGAAAAATCGATTTACAAAAAAATAAAAAAAAGCCCATGTAATACCTCCCCTAGGAAATATATTGACGTCGAGAAAAACCCTTTCTGAAACCCCAACAGAAGTGGCGGCCACACCGCCTCTGGTTCTATCGTATTCCCCGCCTTCTTCAGGTTCATCTTCTATCAATCTTCTTACTTAATTATTAGTTTACAATCACACAATTATCGGTAACTTTCTATTCGATCGAATTTGAACTACGATACAATAATCCGTAAGAAAAATGAAGGTTACTTTTATTCGTTAGGTCATTCAACTTATAGAATTGCGTATCTGTTTTCGTTTTTCTAGTGAAACTGTTGATTTAGTTTGGAGGCACAATGAGATTGGAGAAATGCTGGTTCTGTTCTTCTACTGTATATCCTGGACATGGAATCCAGTTTGTTCGCAATGATGCCAAGGTAAATTATTGATTGTTCAAATTATTATAGCTCTATAGATTTTGATTGAAATATCTGAAAACAATTGTCAAATAGCTTCAACTCTGTGATACTATCGGGATTCCGTTATTAGGGATTAGCAGCCATTAGCAGTTTTTTAAACAATAATAATACTCTTGTATTGTAATCACCATAATATGTAAAGTTGGTTAACCTTTCAATATTTTAGCTATGCTTTGTCTCCTTTACCTTATTCGGCCATTATTTCACATAGTAGATTTTCTATCCGATATTAGTAACATGGTCTAAAGGTGTTTTCTTACTCCAGAGTTTTGAAGTTATATTATTGCACTTTTAGGGATTTTGTTGGCTTTTTTAGATATCCCTCTTCTGAACTTCCAAATCATCTTATCACACCAATCTAGTTTATCAACTATCACGGTTTCACTCTTATATGTATCTGGCTGGCTAAAATTGAAAATAAGCTTTGTGTGTGTTTGTTTGTTCATAGCTTCACTTAACATGGAAGTTATGGTTGCAATGTCTCACAAGTTCTTGTTGTAGATTTTTCGATTTTGTAGGTCTAAGTGCCACAAGAACTTTAAAATGAAGAGGAACCCTCGGAAAGTAAAATGGACCAAGGCATATAGGCGAGTGCACGGAAAGGACATGACACAGGTAAATGAAACTTCCGTCCTTGTTGTCCTAATCTCTCTCGTGTGTGTTAATTACACTCTTGGTTTGGAGAAGCTTCACACTTTTGTTTGTTGTTTTAGGATTCAACCTTTGAGTTTGAGAGGAAGCGAAACAGGCCTGAGAGATACGACAGGAATCTTGCTAACACTGTCCTTAAAGTCATTTCAAAGATTGATAAGATCCGAGTTGCGAGGGAAAATAGACACCACACGATAAGGTTATTCTTTAACTCATACGTTACTTGATATCCCAAAGATTTATTAAAACCTGTTTTTCTTCCGTTCTCTTCTGACATTTTGTTAAATCTCCTATAGGATGAAGGGCAAGAAGAAGAAGGATCAGATTGAGGGTGCTAAGGAGTTGGAACAGAGCATCCATATGCTTCCCATTCCTAAGGTCAAAGTGGTGGAACCTCTTAAGGTCAAAGTGGCTGTTTCCCAACAACAACCAGAGCAAAATCTTGCAATGGAAGAGTGATATCAATGATGAAATTTTGAAACAAATTTTTGTAGTATTTTAGAATTATGTTTGTGGTGTTTTTAGATAATGTTTTAATAGTTTACAAGATAGTGAACTAGTACTACTACTCCTTGTATGTTTTGATTTTATCATGAGTATACTTATTATTCAGTTGGACCATGGCGTGGTAAAATGTTACACAACTAAGAAACTTCTGGATACTTCTCTCTTTTCAATTGAAGTCATGTTGTAATTAGATAAATAAGAATGAACATAGGAATCTATTGCCTTTAATGGTGTTCTGTCAGTATTGAACTTATAAAACAATACAATCAAATTTAGTTTTTGAATGTAAAACAAAGAGAGCATCAACCACCACTTTTTTTTAATTATTATTTACATAATTTATTAACAATCAAATAAATAAAAAATTAATTATCCTGTAAGTTTTAACTTCTGGCTGTCCTCGGAACACGTGTCTCTGGCTTGACATCTCCCTCCAAACAGAACGATATGGAACTCACCAACGGTCTTTCTCCATCCATATGCACACAATTGAAAAAGTGAACTAAGCCATATAGATGGTTTTAGTTACAAGACCTTGTTCTTCACTACGTCTTCTTCACGATCATTCTTTTCATTCTACAACCAAATTCGTCGTCGTTCGATGTAACCGGAGTAGCGTTTCGGAGATAGAAGAGAAAGCAGAGAATGTTGAATCATTGAGAAATTCGCTTTCGTTCCCTCCATTAAAAGCTGCAAAGAGAGTGATTTTGGTCAGGCACGGACAGAGCACGTGGAATGCCGAAGGAAGAATTCAAGGTAGTTCTGATTTCTCTGTTCTTACCAAGAAAGGTGAGTCTCAGGCTGCGATTTCCCGCCAAATGCTCGCCGACGACAAATTCGACGCTTGTTTTGCGAGGTCTATTTATCTTTCTGTATATCCAATGTTTATTGATTGCTGATGATGCTGATGCCATGCCACTGATTTTGTGCTTTCTGTTTGTTTGTTCTTTCTTTTTAGTCCTTTGGCTAGATCAAAGAAAACCGCTGAAATCATTTGGGGACCTCGCCAACAACCGATAATTCCCGAGTTCGATCTAAGGGAAATTGATTTGTACTCCTTCCAAGTAAGTTTCAATTGATTTTGTTCCAGTTTCATAAATCTGGGTTTCTGGTGGGTGGGATAGCTCAATTGATATCGGCGAGTTAAGTTAAATGAGTGTAACGACTTATATCTAAGGTTTAATCCCTGCGGTAACATTTATTTATATTTATATATTACTGTAAATAAATTGTTAATAAGCTATTCCAAATACTTCCCAAGTCTAGCTCACATTATTCACTTCTATTATTTGGATGTGATGTTAAAGTCCTACATAAGTTGACAGTGGGTTCAATAAAGGTAATATAAGAATGGAGACCCATGTATTAAGGTTTTGGGTCAAAAGTGGTCTGTCAAATTCATAAAATTAATCGGCTTAAATAGTCTTTTGTCCCTATAAGTTTGGAGTGTTTCTGATTTTCATCCCTCTATTTTTTTTCTTTCTGAAAATAATTCTTGAATGTTAAAATCTACATGGACCAAAAGACAATTTAAGCCAAATTAATTTATAATGAACTGAATTGAATATGTTTGTATCTTTTTAAAGACTATCGAATGGCTTGGTGTGACAGAAGTTGTTGTTTTTGCTATTGTGGTATTTTAGGGTTTGTTGAAGGCTGAGGGAAAAGCTAGATTTGGTTCAGCTTTTCATCAATGGCAGGTGGATCCTGTGAATTTCGTCATTGATGATCATTATCCTGTGAGAGAGTTGTGGGATCGTGCTAGGAACTGCTGGACTAAAATTCTAGCTCATGATAGCAGGTCTGTTCTTGTGGTTGCTCACAATGCTGTTAATCAGGCTCTTGTTGCCACAGCAATTGGTACCCATTTCCACCTCTAAGGAAATTTCGATGATCAAAAAGTTTCGGAATTTTGTCAATTTGAATAACATCCTCAAGTTTAATTCCATTCCGAACTATTAGGTCTGGAGGCAGAGTACTTCAGAACTTTACTTCAGAGCAACTGTGGTGTAAGTGTACTGGACTTCACTCCAAGGTCCGACGGTGGTTCTCCCCATATTTGTCTTAACCGCTTAAACCAGGTATATAGTACATCTACCCGACTAGCTGAATCTGGATGTAGATGTAGGCACGGATTTAAATTGCAGTTGCGATTACGGGTATGCAGCTAACTTAGTACTGGGGGAATTGCCATGCTGTTGTAGAGACCTATAAAACTTTTATGTTGGGGCCATAACTGTAATCGTAGACTGCATTTTAAAACTGTGGATGTAGGGCTTGGCTTTATTATCCCTTTTACAGCTTCAGATTATAAGCTGATGGTAATTTCTGCACTTGTAGATTGTTTTATTAGTTCCTTCTCTCTGAAACAAATATTGTTTACCTATCTTCGTAGTGTCGACAACTGTTTAAGCATTCCTTTAAATATAATCAAGTTATCAATGCAGACCCCTGGTTCACCTGTTGCTGGAGGGAAATCTGGAGGCAGAGACGCAAGCAAGCAGATCATACTTGTTTGTAATGGATCTACACAAGGAAATACAGAGGTAACAAGAAATGGTTGAAGGGTCATTACTCATTAATAAACATTGTAATATTTTCTCATTTATTCCCACTTCTGTGAAAGTTATAGCTGATACACCAAGGGATACTCTGTCCTGTGAGATATTTCTTTCCTAATATGAGTTGCAAAGTGCATCTGCATACAGACACTTAGCAATATTAGTTGAAGTTTTAAATGCTTTGCCACGTGTTCAATTGACTTATTCTCACATCCAATACTTGTTTGTTGCAATGGATGTTTATGCGATTGAAGTTTTATGTGGTTGAGATTCCTTAACCGCTTCTCCATGTTTACATTTTCCCTTTTTCTTAGAGGTGGAGGGAAGCTAGTAGGAAATATAGGCAACATTGTTTAAAGAGTTTCAGATTTTATTGGTCTATCATTGGATTTTGATTCTTGATGACTGAACATTATGGCTTTATTTGATACATATATATATAGCAGACTATACCAACTGGAAAGTAGCTTTGTTGGTTGTATTTTATGATTTATCATTGATCTATGAGACTATGATATGCACTGAGTTGCAAAGTGTTAAAAAGAGGCATTTATATACTTTCAACATGTAGCTTAAGGTTTTGGAGTAGTTGATTTATGACACATTATCAGATCCTCTAGGACCATGTATTCCATGTTACCTCCATTCTTCCCAAAAAGGACAGTCTGGTGCTATAATGCCCCAGCTATGGTAATTTTTCTCAATCCGATGTTTGTAGCTCATCTTGGGAAGTGGCATTGGAGATTGATCTCAAATGCTTCTGGCCTCTGGTGTGATATCTTATCTGTGAGATGAGGAACATGTTATTTACTTCTTCAAGGGAGGTGGATCTTTAGCTTACCCCCTGCTTCTACCTAGTGGAAATGTGTTTCTCTTCTATGCTCTAAAGTTGACGATTCTTATGATTGGTTTGTGGATAGCCTGCAGAAGAAAATGGAGACTGCCCTTCTCACCTCTTTTGGGGATGACCATTGGGTGGGAAAAATCTCACTAAAGCTATGGTAGGGTCCATGGTCATGTATGACCTATTATGGGTCTATGGTAGGCAATCTTATTTTGGATTAGCAAGAGGATGATTCCACAACTCAGACTCGCGATGCTCGAGTCACATAAAATCAATTCAGTCATTACACAAAAGCTCCCCTTCAACCCCATCCTTTCAAGTAATATTTTATATTTAGCACAAAACCCATATGAATTATCCTCACTTTGAGCTTAAATGGATCTTGCGTGACAAGGTATGCTATCAAGCCCAGATACTTCAAAAATGAGTGTCAGAGTCTGACATGTATCCGATATCAATACGTGTCCGATACTTCCAGACATGTACCTGAAAAGTATGGAATAAATTCTTTAAACATATTTCCACCAATACATCTTTGATATTTCTTACCAACTAAAAACGTAATTGTCATTTATTTGAGTACAATCCATCTTCGCTGCATCATAGTAACTGCAGTGCAGACAAAAAATTGTATATTTTCTTATGACACATGTATAGTCGAAAGAGTTTATTCTTATACAGGCGGGGGAGAGATATGTAACTATAAGGGTGTTTGTAACCATGGCCAATTGGACTTTAAAACGCACTCATTGCGAAGGTACAACAAGAAGCTTCATGTTAACACATGGTGAAAAGATTGCAAACCTGAAAACAATCACCACTACTTGTTGCGATCATCACAAGTACAAAACTGGATCATCCTATAGTGACTATTGATATGTTTATGTTTTAATTAGCAACGTGAATGGCTCTTTACAAACATTGTGCATTAATAACAAGTTTTTGTCTACGTATTTGGGTTGTGTCGTATCTTAATTTTATAAAATTCTCTGTATCCATGTTGTATTGTACTTAAATTTTACTATATATTCAGGCTTCTTATGGTATATTAGACACTAATCATTCACATGCTTTCACCCAACGGCGTAAGCTTTTGGAATAGTTGATTCATGAACGGAAGTTTCAAGTTTTATCTTTATGCTAGGTTTCTAATCAAACTACCTTATTGTAACAGGACGGTTTTATTTTTTCTGGTGATCAACCATTGAACATGCTTGGTGTTATACAGGTATTGGACCCATTTATCAGTAATAAGTGGGTATTGAAGAAGTTATCTCATCTGACCTTTTTCATGTTTAACAGTCTCAGAAATCTGCAGAGCTACTTCTTGATTTGAAAGTGAGTTCCATAATTAGCAGTCTTAACAAATCTTGTATTGAGACAGCCGTGGCCATTTCCCAGGTAAGCTCAGTTTCGGTACTTTTCACTTTGTCCAGTCATGCTAAATTCTTGGTTGTATTTTCATCTGCTTCTGAATAGATTCTGGTTTTGATATATCTATTAAATTGCATGCTTGAATTTGTGAATTTCAATTTTCTTTTTGTATT